GGAGAGGGGAGGGGAGGGGAGGGGAGGGGAGGGGAGGGTGACTGAGGGCTCAGTGGTGGAGGGAGCCAGGTTGGGGCCAAGCAGGGAGCTCAAGAGAGCCAAGGAGAGGGTTGGGGTGAGAGGGTCTCAGGAGGTGATGAGGACAACAGGGAGGACAGGTGGGGGACCCAGGGTGCCAGCTGAGTCCCAGGCCCTTCCTGATGGGTTTGGGTGGAACTGCTCTGGTCCCTCTAAGGGAGGGCCTCAGTCTAGGGTGCAGCAGAGAAGGTGGGATGAAGACTGCCATCACCTGGATGCCACCCTGACTGTTGGTCCCCCTACAGGTCAGCAGCAGACTAAAACCACAAACTCAGCCAGGTGAGTGCTGGGCCTCCCCAAGGGGTTAGGGGGGTGCAGGTGTAGGCTGGTTTGGGAAACTGAGTGTGCTGCTAAGAACTCCACAACCCCAGCCTGCCACGGCCATTGTCACATCCCCAACTTACCCATCCTCATCCTCCTTTGTCCTCTAGGGACCAGGCTCTTGACTTCGGGCTTTCTGTTCCCTAAAAACTAGACTAATGGACTCCGGGTTCCAGCACACTCTGAGTCTCTTTTCTGGAGTGCCCATCTGTGTCCTCTGCCTGCCTTTCCTGCTAAACTTTTCTGCTCTTCACCTGCTTCCTCTCAGCCTGGATCTTCCAGCTTTTCCATATTGCCTGCTCTCTGTTCATCTGTCCTGGTTTCCTGCCAAATGTGCCAGGGGGCCCCAGGCTTCCTCTGCGTCCAGCTCCTCTTACCTGTGTTTGCTCAGGAGAGACTCACCAGCCTCTCTCCACCTTGCTCCCCTCTCCAGGCTAGGGCCTCACTTTTCCTTTTTCTGGGCTCTTCCTCTCCATCCTCCCACCATTTTCCTTTCCTTTCCTCTGGCCCCTCCTTTCTGTGCCGGAAGAAGGCCTCACCCCTGCTCTTTCTCCTGCACTGACTTGCCAGCTGCCCTTCTCCCATCCCCCACCAAGTTCCTTCTCCGTCCAGTCACCCAACATGAGCCCCTAATCAGACGACCTGAAATTCACACAATTGGTTTGCTTCTCCCAGTTTAAGCCAAGGCAGTGTCAGCAGAGAGAACAAAGGTTGACCTTTCCTATTTTTCTTCTCCATGTTCCTCTCCCATACCAGCAGCTACCTTAAGACAACCCACCTCAGTGAGCACCGAGGGACCTCTACTAGGCCACACACAAATTGCCTCTAATTCCTCTTCCAAGCAGCCTCTTCTGAGTCTAAAACCATCACACCCATCCTAAGCAGGCTGCGCAGGTTGCAGAGCACCCCCAAAAGAGAACCAGCCCCTAACACGTGTCATAAATCTTTTTTAAACATTTTATTTTTGAGAGAGAGTATTGCTGTCAGCTAGGTTGGAGTGCAGTGGTGCAATCATAGCTCACAGCCTTGAACTCTTGGGCTCAAGCGATCCTCCCACCTCAGCCTCCTGAGTAGCTGGGACCACAGGCACACATCACTACACCCAGCTAGTTTTTGTATTTATTGTAGAGACTGGGTCTTGCTGTGTTACCCAGGCTGATCATGTACTCCTGGGCTCAAGCAATTGCCATCTGCCTCAGTCTTCCAAAGTGCTAGGATTACAGGTGCGCGAGCCACTGCCCAGCCCACGTCATAACTGCCCAGCCTCTAACATATTTTCCGTCCTCTTGTTCCCATACAGGGAACCCTTCCAAAACACAGAGGAACTATATGAGAATATCAGGAATGAAGGTGAGTCCTCACTATCATCCTTCCCCAGTTTCCACCCCTGGCCCTTCCTGTTTCCCCAAACAGCCCCTACCTTGGTCCATGCCCCTCTCGGTACTTCCATGCCCCTCTCGGTACTTCCCTCTTTCCATTCCTTGCCCCCACGTGACCCTGGTCCTGACCTAGCAGATAACCTCACTCCTAGAGCCCCCTGCCCATCTCTCTCCCCTGGCTGTCACACCACCTGACCTTGGCACACCTTGCTTTTTATTCCTAGGACAAAGTACAGATCCCAAGCGTAATCCCAAGGTAAGCAGTCAGACCAGGGCCTGAAGGAATTAAAGAGAAGCCTGGGCTGGGCACAGTGGCTCATGCCTGTAATCCCAACACTTTGGGAGTCCAAGGCAGGTGAATCACCTGAGGTCAGGAATTAAAGACCAGCCTGACTAACATGGTGAAACCCCGTCTCTACTAAATACAAAAAATTAGCCAGGCATGGTGGTGCACGCCTGTAGTCCCAGCTACTTGGGAGGCTGAGGCAGGAGAATCGCTTGAACCTGGGAGGTGGAGGTCGCAGTGAGCCCAGATTATGCCATTGCACTCCAGCCTGGGCAACAAGAACAAAAAAAAAAGAGAAGCCTGGAAGCCTGGAGAAGGTGGGGTGGAAGGGAGAGGGAGTTTGGTGTGGGGAGGACAGTCAGATTGCAGGCTTGCCACTAAGATGAGGACAGCTCCGTCTCGACTAACGCTTTCTCTTTGGGTTTTGACCCAGGACAACGGCATCATCTATGCCTCCCTTGCCCTCTCCAGCTCCACCTTACCCAGAGCACCTCCCAGCCACCATCCCCTCAAGAGCCCACAGAGCGAGATCCTGTACTCTGTCTTAAAGGCCTAACCAATGGACAGCCCTCTCAAGACTGAATGGTGAGGCCAGGCACGGCGAATGCCTGTAATCCTAGCTCCTCCAAAGCCTGAGGCAGAATAGATTCAGCCCAGGCATCAGAGCCAGCTTTGACAACATAGCAAGATGCCATCTCTAATTAAAAATATATATTAACAATAAAATAACAAATTTTTAAAAATTGTCTTCAAAACTATTTTTGTTAAATCTGCATCCATTAAATTCCAGAGAGAAAGAAGTAAAAAAAAAAGACTGTATGATGACCTTCTTAGGGTATGCTGTGCTTCCAACAGGAAGGGTCACAGCTTCCAACAATAACCAAGGCCACACAGATGACTTAGAGGCCAGCCAGAGAACTGACAGAAACAGAGCCATCTACTCCAACTCCCTCTTTACCTTCCCAGCCCTTGCCCATAAAACTAAAAGTACTCCCAAAACTTGCCTGAATGTATGTAAGGAGAAAACTGACATCACCTTCAACTCCTGTCCCTCCCACCGAAAATGAACTCTAACAGATAACTCACACCCAAGACCCTTCCTCCAATACTTTTTTCAGTGACTTCCTCAGGCCAGGGAACATGAGTCCCCAAACGCTGGTAGCCAGCCCAAACCCAAAGCCTGCCCTCGAATCCGATCACAGTCTTCCCTATGATGACAACGAGTACATCAACTCATTTGACACCACTCACAACCCTATAAGGTAGAGGACGCACTTGCTGGAAGATGAAGAGCAGAATCAGGATGGTGAACATGCTTCTCCCCAGGCTACAGAGGTAGCTAGTAAGGAGCCAAGCCCAGATTTTAAACCAGATCTGCCCTTCTCGATGTCCTCTCAGGACTCCAGAACTCAGGTCTTACTGCCTTCCCCAGATGCCTACACTGTACAGGCTCCCACCAGAAGCAGTAATGTGCCACAGTGACACTGAGGAGGGGGAGCAGCCAACAGGGGACAGTTAGACACCAGCCAAGCCAGCTGACCGTAACCTGCTTTATTAACACAGAAACTACGCAACACACTTGAACTTCATAGACAACGAACACCCCCAGCACTTAGCAACTTCTCCCTCCTGCACCCCAGAGGAGGGAGAACAAGAGGGAGTACAGGAGCACCAGCTACTTCCCAAACAGGGCCACAGGGAAGTCCTTGCCATCACTGTCGCTGTGCTGCAGCTCCCCACTCTGACCCAGCTCTCTCCCAACATCTTCCATGAGTTGCTCCAAGTCCAGGTCACTGGAGGTTTCGTCGTCAAGGGAGACACTTCCAGCCTTCTGGGTCAGGGGTTGCCGGGGTCTGGGCTCTTCTTTTGCAGCTGAGGGGCAGGCCCCCTCATGTGCTGATGGGCCCAGGTCCTTTAGCACTGTTCTAACTTCTTTTCCCTCTGAAAAGCTGGCTGCCAAGGCCTTGCTCTGGGGAGCTTTAAATTTTTTCTTAGGGCCTAAATGAGAAGGTGACAAAGCTGAGAGTCCTATTAGGTCAGCTTATCCTTATCTTTTATAAGTCCAACTCCTGTATCTCTATTTCCAAGAAATCTCTGGAAAAGATGACCTTTCTCAGTATAAGGAACATGGACTTTGGGGTCAGAAACAGATTCAAGCTGTCCACGCTATGCTAGACACCAGCCTTGTGCACTTTTTAAATCCTTTGAGCCTTAGTTTTCTGATGTCTAAAATGGAAATATCCAGTGAGAGCTATTGAAAGAATTTAAAGGAACAGACATGGAAGTATCTCTTTAGCCAACCCTTGGCAATACTGAATAAATGTTACTTCTCTTCTACCATTCTACTGCCCCTGGGCCAAATCAAATCAGGAACCATTCTGTTTCTATAGTGTGTACTGGGTACAGTCTGAGATGCCCTTTCATTCTAATTTTCATTTGTTCTGTAAAGTAATGAAAAGCTGTAGAATGGTTAAGAAATGATTCAGGGAGGGAAGATGCTGGCATGCACCTCATTCCCTAGTTTTTCCCAGGCCTTGAGCCTTACCTGGCTGGTCAGAATCTGAATTCCCTTGGCCTTCTTTCGTTTCCATTCTGGGTGCAGGAGGAGATGTGGATTTCCTGCCCAGAGGTCTCTTCATTATCTTCCTCTGCAGCGTCCTGCCTCGGCCACCTGCCATGCCTGCATCAACCCCATGCCCAGGCATGAGGGAAACATGTTTATTTCCCTCTAAATGACAGCTCAGCAAGGGCAGATGGACTCCGAACATTGAGTCTCTGCCCTGCCCCACATCTTATGCTCAGTCTCAATCTAGTGAGTTCTCCTGGTGGCCTCTGGCTCTTTTTCGACACATTTTTCCCCCCAATTCTCTTTTTTTCTTTTACCCCATGGATCGTCTCTTTATAGTTCTCCTCAGAGTCTGCCTTCTCCAGGAGGACATCCTTCTTGGCTAAGAACTTAAAACCTTCCATCTTTCACTTCAGATTTTATAATTCAGTACAGAAAAGCAAGGGGGCTCCAGCTCCCCACTGACACTATGGGTGAGTCTTGCCTGTTTTCTCAGGTCCTGGCACTGAGACAGGAAGTGAGGTCCAGCTACCTGCAGACTCGCTCTCTACCGTTTCCCTGCCTTAACTGTAGGACGTGCCCCATTTCCTGCTGGCCTGCTTACCTCTTGGCTTGGCTTTTTTGGTCTGTGTTTTGACTTGGTTGCAACTGGGCAAAGTTGGGTCCTGAGGATGGAAAAGGAAGTTTAAAAAAATCATAAATTAAGGCCTCTAACTGTTTTTAACAAAGAAGTATGCTACAGAATGACAGGTGAGCTTTGGGGAATCAAAATAGGTTCTGTGAGCCTGATATTGTTTATATTTATGGCAACACAGAGAAAAATGTGTGGTCACTTTCCTAGTCTGTTGGTATTCATCAATGCAAGGCTTTAGGCATGAAAAAATGAAATAAAACTAGGCCATGAGTATGATAAAAATTGCTTAATTAAAATTTAGAAGAGAAAGTGAAAAATATATATTTCCTATACCTGGAAAACAGATGCTAAGAAAACAAGTGAATAAAAATCCTCCATGTCCATGTAGGGAGAAAGGAGTGGAAACAAACAACTGCTATTCTCTGAATTGCTCCCAGAACAGTCAAATAAATACAGTAGGAACTGAAATGATACTCAAGAAAGCAATTCCTAGAGATGTGGGAAATTAGTGAATAAAGAAGAAAGAAGAGCCCTAGAAACCCTCAAATATCTGACAATTGGGGCTCCCTCGAGACAGGGACAGGATAGCTCCTTAGTAAATATAAGTCCATACTAACGAGATCCTTACAGGAATCTTCTAAAAGGAAACCCCAAGATCCTTGTCTCAACCATTTTTAAAGCTAATCTTGGCCAAGTGCAATGGCTCATGCCTATAATCCCAGCACTTTGGGAGGCCAAGGTGGGAAGATTGCTTAAGCCCAGGAGTTTGAGACCAGCCTGGGCAACCTGATAAAACTCCATCCTATAAAAATAAAGCTAACCTTACCATTTGCTTTCCCTCCTTTTCTAACTCTTCCTCCTTCTCCTCCTTTTTGTCCAAGCAGGATCCTGGGCTGTTGAACCCAGAGAGCTGTAAGTCTAGAACAGGAAAAGGAAGGAAAGGCTAACTAAATAATTCCTACCATAAAGCAGTGAGTGAATTAAGCTGATCCCAGAGAATCTGTCTTCTAACTGTGCCTTTTGTGTCCAAGTGGTATTTTCTCCATAAAATGTGATCCCAGATTATCACACTTCCACCCTTTTCAAAGTCCATCACTATTCAGCACACCACTCTTCCTTCCCCATCCCGTTTCTCCCATTCCTCTCTCCACTCATCTGCCCATCTATCCTGGATACTGGATCAATAACCTTCACAAGAGCCTCCTATTAAAGTATCCAGAATTAGCCCGATGATAGAGAATATAAAATAAAGAAAAACATGGCTGCTGCCCTCATGAAGGAATCCCTCCCCTCCCTCTCCAGTCCTTAGCCTCCACTTATCCTACCTTTTCTTTCCCCATTACTGTTAGATCCGTTGAATCGGCTCCAGAAACCAAACAAGTTAACCCGTTCCTGAAGGAACCAAGAAACAAAAGCATCATCCACTACTCTTTCAGGGGCAGTTTTTGCCTTCTGTCTTCTGGAATTTAGTTATGATGAAATTCTGATTCATTTTGATACCAATTTTTTTTGTGGGGACAGTGTCTTGCTCTGTCACCCAGGCTGGAGTGCAGTGATACAATCTTTACTCACTGCAACCTCCTCAGCCCAGGCTCATGATCCTCCTGTCTTAGCCTCCCAAGTAGCTGGGACTGCAGGCATGTGCCACTATGCCTGGATAATTTTTCTATTTTTTGTAGAGACAGGATTTTGCTGTGTTGTCTAGGCTGGTCTTAAACTCCTGGACTCAGTGGACCCACCTCAGCCTCTCAAAGTGCTAGGGTTACAGGGGTGGGCCCCGCTCTCCAGCCCTCATTTTCCATACCATTTTCACTTAGAATTACACATTAGGCTTACCTGACCTTTTATGGAGATTAATTAATTATAATCTCTATTTCTAGTTTGTTTCTAATTCAACAAATAAGGAAAACTGGAGGGGAAAATGTCGCCTTTTTTTTTTTGAGATTGAGTTTTGCTCTTGTTGCCCAGGCTGGAGTGCAACAGCATGATCTCAGCTCACCACAACCTATGCCTCCCAGGTTCAAGCAATTCTCCTGCCTCAGCTTACTGAGTAGCTGGGATTACAGACATGTGCCACCAAGCCTGGCTAATATTTTGCATTTTTAGTAGAGACAGGGTTTCTCCATGTTGGTCAGGCTGGTCTCAAACTCCCAACCTCAGGTGATCTGCCCACCTCAGCATCCCAAAGTGCTGGGATTACAGGTGTGAGACACCATGCCTGGCCTAATTTCACTGTTTTTTATTCTCCATCCCACCCCCACCAACAAAATTTGAGCATAAAAACTGACTTCACAGAAAAGAGAGGTTAGGGCACTTATATCTGAAACCTGAAATGAAATATGGAGGTCAGATGCCCCCTACCACAAATCATTCTTGTCTGGATTGAGGGAGAATCCCACTTGTCCAAGAGTAGGGAAAGGGCTGGGCGCGGTGGCTCAAGCCTGTAATCCCAGCACTTTGGGAGGCCGAGGCGGGTGGATCACTAGGTCAAGAGATCGAGACCATCCTGGTCAACATGGTGAAACCCCGTCTCTACAAAAACTACAAAAAATTAGCTGGGCATGGTGGTGCGTGCCTGTAATCCCAGCTACTCAGGAGGCTGAGGCAGGAGAATTGCCTGAACCCAGGAGGCGGAGGTTGCG